TCTGCAATGATGTTTCCCTCCAAAAAGGAGGAGGTACCGGTTGCTTGGGAAGGCCAGCGGCCTGGAAGTCACCGCCCAAGAGGCAAAGCAGGCCGCTATATCTTCAGGCCGGGCGGAAGACCCCGCCTCTTTTTCGGTGTGCAAGTTTGGCGACACACTGGTGGAGCGCTGGCTGGGACACGAGGGAGGAAGGAGGAGGAAGGAGGAAGGAAGGGGGAGGAGCGCCAGAGGTACTTACCTGGCTATGGTGGCCGCCATCTTCATCACCTTGGTGGGCGCTGCAGCAAGGACCAGAGGTACTTACCTGGCTATGGTGGCCGCCATCTTCATCACCTTGGTGGGCGCTGCAGCAAGGAGTCCCCAGCCGGGGAGAGCCACACYAAGAAGCTTCAAGGCAGGGTCAGGCATGGCGGCCTGAGCTAGAGCAGYCATAGCTGCTTTGCGTTGTCCTTTGGGCATCTGAGCAGAGCCCAGTAGTCCGCCATAGCCTCGGCCTATGAGAGTGAAGAGTGGGAGAGGCGGCCATGGCTATGGTGGACCTCAAGTGATACCTGCAGTAGAAGAGGGACTCGGACATTGATTCTGGACCAGTCATTCAACATTGTATTATTATTTCTTGTATGAATAAGAGGAGGGGAGATTGTTGAGCGAAGAAGAAGAGCCTTGTCATTGTCTTTGCTGGTGTACATCTTCTTCTTCTTCTTTCTTACTTCTTCTTCTTGTACCTTCTGATGGATGTGTACCTCGAAATTGGCCAGGGTCATAACAACTGTGTCATAACAACTGTGTCATAACAACTATGTCATAACAACTGTGTCTGCGTTGTCATCTCCTCAATGATTTCTGGCGGTGATCTCTCGGTTGTCTTCTATGGATGATTGTTGGGACTTCTGTGGAGAGAATTCACTGTGTTGTGTATTCTGTCACTTCGCTCCTCTGAGTCTTTCGCTGCGTTTCTTCTGTTGGGCGGTGTGACACTCCACTACCTCTCCCCTTCCTTCTATGCATGTATGGGCGTGTACGGGAGTTCTTGTGAGTGAGCGTTGACAAAACTTCAACGGACAATCATGTTCATAACACAGTCCCACATCTGCTACTCAAAACCCAAGATACCGTCCCACATCTGCTACCCAAAATCAAAGGTAGTAGTTCTTTCTGGCAAAAAAGGACACACCATCGACCCCATAAGTGTGAATCTGGGCTAGCCTTCAATATTTGGTTGCATGCTGATCTCGACCTCAGTACCAAAAAGTACCAAAACTTTTCACTGTGCCGTGTTCGCCAGAGCGCCTAAACATACGACCGTGAAAAAAATACGAAAATGTAATATATATATAGTCAAACAGAGCTGCCCGGCAAACCGTAGGCAGAGAGGGAGGGACAACAGGGAGAAGAGGACAACAAACAAGGGGCTGTGGCAAACTGTTTTGTCGGAGTTTCACCGACTCATCAGTATATATCGTCACAAACAGAACTGCCCGGTAAACCATAGGCAGAGAGAGAGAAGAGGACAACAAACGAGGGGCTGTATATATATATTTTGAAAATAATTCTGCTCATCAAAATGTTAGCTCTGGCCTTGGAAAATGGTGAATACTTTGGGGAACATTTTATGTTCAGCGGTCTGGGAAGTCATCTCAAGACTCGGACTTATCAATTATCAAATCACTACAGTAAAACAAATAAAATAATTCTGTCTTACGCACTTGAATCAAAGTTCATATCTCGTTTTGACCGACTCTGTTTATGTCATCCAGTTTCCTGATAACCGTGCAGAACCGTCAGATTCAAACATAGGTATATGTTACGTAACTCTGGGGCACAATGTTCGCACTCGTAGCTTTGGAACATGGTACACCATGTTCTAGCAGCTTTTAGAACATGGAGCAGCAGAACTACCGTCTCACCCAAACAGATCGCCGGGTCATTAAGGCTGTACTTGGGGCAATTTTCAGTCCGGATGCAGCGATAATGACCGGGCATCATTCTTCAACTCGACGGCAGCAAGCCTATCTCGCCGTGCACCCACCACAAGGGGTCGACATGCATCAGAAGATATGTGCCCGCACGAGCCTCTCGAAGATGGTAATCCTCTTCTCCCTTAATAATAGAAACACAGAAAAAGGACAGGACCATAAGGCCCTGTTAAAAAAAATAAAAAGAAAAAAAAAATAAAAAAAAGAAAAAGAAAAAAAAGAAAAAGAAACACAGAAAAGGTCTTCCTGTATGTACATTATTTGGATGCTGGAAACAGAGCTTGGACCCTTCTGATGTCTTCAGCACACACAGCAACACACTCAGCGAACGCCTACCATCTTAACCCGAATAGAACGCCCGGTCATTACTGCTGTATCCGGCACATATCCAGATACTGATATAATTACCGGGCGACGGGCGTTCTATTCGAGTGAAGACGGTAGTTGACAGTGACACCAAGCAAATTCAGAGTGAGTGAGAGCAGAAACCACCCACTCGACACCCCGTTAACAAAGTTAACATAACTTCACACCCTGTGATGACTTAACTCAGGCCCAGTCAAGAGAGCTTAAGTTGCTTAACAATCAGTTAACACTTAGTTCAGACTAGTTAACTGAACTCAACACCCAATTTACATTTGGGTTGCAGAACTCAACACCCTGGGACAACATCAGGTGGGCAGTAAGTCCACATCCAGTGCACACCCAATTATTAAAAGCTAACACACACAAAAATAACACAACATAGCACATAGTTCACATGTAGTCCGTACCCATTTAGAGCCCATTTAACACCCATTTAACACCCATTTAGGGCCCATTTAACACCCATTTAACACCCATTTAACACCAGTTAAAACTCGGTTAAAACTCAGTTAAAACTCAGTTCCCCAGTTAACCCCCAGTTAACCCCCAGTTAACCCCCAGTTAAACCCCAGTTAAACCCCAGTTAAGCCCCAGTTAAACCCCAGTTAAAGGCCAGTAAAAGGCCAGTTAAGGGCCAGTTAAGGGCCAGTTAAAACACAGTTAAAACACAGTTATAATCCAGTTAACACCTCATAGTACACATTACCGTGTAATTCTCAGCTCAGTGAGGGTTATGTTCATCAGAGGCAGTATGCTAGGATATACCTACCTGGAAGGCACCGTTTTGACAGCACAGACCTGTAGTATGCACTTGGTCTATAGACTATTCCTCCTATGTACCCTGTTTCAAGGACTGTTACGGCTATGTGGCACTGCACATGGCAGAGTGCAAGTTTGAGAGTGTAGCTCACGTACTGCACATCGCAAATTGATTCATCCTAAAGCATCGAGGATGGGAGGAAAACACTCCCCACACTCGCGACGTTTCAGAAAGGACAAAGTTGAACCCTGAAAACGTATGTACGGTGGAGATATGATCACAAGGTCACTTTTAAAGCGACAATCGTGAAAGAATGCCAACAACATGGTACGGTCAAAAGAAGCCAAAAGTTGATGATGACGGGAAACTCGGGAGCGGGCTTATAACACTTGCTTGCCTCCTAGAAGCAGAAAGGTGGAAGGTTTCTCCAAAATCTTACGCGGCGAGTGATGAAAGAAGATCAAATCTCAAAAGGAAGAAAAAAACAAAGGACATGAGAAACAAACAAACGCCAAATGTGTTGAAATCCAACTTTTCAAGGACCCAAGGGGAGAGGGTCCAGCAGCCACACCGGTGAAACAGGATCGTCCAATTAACAAGGAAGTCACATTCATGGATCCGATGGGCTTCCTCTCAAATTTGAACGAGGTTGTCACGGGCAGCGAAAGACCGGGAGAGAGGAGAGAGACCAGACATCTGACGGACAGAGGATGAGGCCTTGATCGTCAGCAAGACAAAGACGGTCAACAATAACTGCATACTGAAATTAACTGGCAGAGCCCTGGTGCCAATTTCAAAATCATCGAGCACCACATCTTCTATCAGGGACTAACTGTTGATCTTGAAGTCTACTCTACACTGAGAGAGCCAGAATGCACCTCCCCATGACGGGAGAAGACCTATTTACAATGACGGGGCATAAAAGAGTGAAATCATAACTGAAGAAAGCCTGAAAAAAAGAACGGTAAGAAGAGGGGCTTGACTACTCAACAGCGACAAGTTTAAAATGCGAACAAGGGGTGCTCTTCACCTCCCACTTCCACTTCCTGCCCCCTCACCACC